TTTTTTTTGCAGAACCGGGGATTGAACTCAGGCCCTTGCGCTTGCCAGGGAAGCGCTTATCCCACTGAGCCATCTCCCCGGCCCCCACTTACAGTTTTGCAGGGCCATCTAGACCTCTTCATGTCATCTTGGGAAAAGAGCAAGAAAAGGGGAGAAGATAGACTCATCGGGCTTGATGTGGGGAAGAGAATAAATAGATGATAGCAATGCCTGAGAACGCAAAAAGATTTAATAGCGGACGTTAGCGGACAGTGCCTCTCTGGCCAGACGTGGTCTGGGGTCTCCTTAACTCCAGCTGCACTTGGCCTCTCTGTGGGAGCAGGTTGCGCAAGGGAAGTGTGATGAATCAGAAAGGCTTGCTGAGTAATAAATTCAGGTGCCTTTGGGTGACGCAGCACCCAGAGATACGAGCTGCTTGTATACAAAGAGAAGATTACATATGAAATGGAGCTAGAATGATGTTGAGGTTGGGCTAAGAAGTTCACAACCTAGTTTCCTAAGGGCACAGGTTTTTATTTTTTTTGGTGGAACCGGGATTGAACTCAGGTCCTTGCACTTGCCAGGGAAGCGCTTATTCCACTGAGCCATCTCCCCGGCCCCCAGGTTTTTATTTTTATTTTTATTTTTATTTTTATTTTTTTTTTGAACCAGGGATTGAACTCAGGTCCTTGCACTTGCCAGGCAAGCACTTATTCTACTGAGCCATCTCCCCAGCCCTCGGCATAGGTTTTTAAATGGCTAATGTGTCACAGGGATGTTGAAAACAGTTAAAAGGTTTGTAGCAACCAAGGGATTGTTCAAGAAAAGACCATATTCAAAAGGACAGATATTCAAGGAAGGGTGTATTTTACCTGTACCCATCCTGCCTCTGCGAAGCATAGTGTGGTCTGCAATCTGAGGAATGGGATAGCCCAGGTCCTAGTCCTTTCCTTTAAATCCAAAGGAAGAAGAGCAATTCAAACCTTCCTAGGTGGCCGGAGAAGACAGGATCTCCTAACTTGGGGCTCAGATCCTGGGACAGGAGGAGCCATAGGGAGCAGCAGCAGGCACAGCTAGTGCAAACCACCAGTGGACTACAGGTTTGTCAGTGTCTGGGGTGAAAGATTAAGGATGGAGCAATACAGAACATCCAAGGCCCAGTGAAGAAACAGGGATGAAACCCGTGAAATACTAAAACAAAAAGAAACATAGAAGGAAAACCTGCAGAAAGCACACACATCCTTAGGCAAGAAGAATTCCACCAAAGGCCTGAGAGTACTTTCAACTTTCCTGAGGGGTTAACCCCAGGATAAGAACATGGCCTGCTTGTCAGAGAGGTCATTCCTTGCACAAAGCCAGCATACAGGGACTGGGAGAGTCTGGCCCCCTCCTCGCCCCATGAAATGCTTAATCTTCAACAAAAGAAACTCGAGTAGGTATATGAACCTGAAACCACAGTTCAGCCAAGGGAATAAAATAAAATAACAGAAATTCTCTGAAAAAATAACACAAACATCCAATTACTAGTAAAAAGACTTTAGAACTGCTGTCTCCAATCTGCTTAAAAAACTAGAAGGAAAGCACATTCAACCAAAGTAAAACAAGAGGGGCCGGGGAGATAGCTCAGTAGAATAAGTGCTTGCCTGGCAAGAATAAAGGCCTGAGTTAAATCCCTGGTTAAAAAAAAAAAAAAAAAAAAAAAAAAAAAAAAAAAAAAAAAAAAAAAAAAAAAAAAAAAAAAAAAAAAAAAAAAAAAAAGTAAGACAAATATACGGTATTTGGACAAAGTGAAAATACAAGAAAGGGCTGGTGAGATGGCTCAGTGATCTAAAGCACCTACTTAGAACAAGCTAAGCTAAGCAAAGCACAGGGACCGCGGTTCAAGCCCCAGCACCACACGCCAGCCAGCCCCGCCCCCTGGTGGGCTGAACTGGCCACACACACAAAATAAATGAAATAAATAAACAAATTTTTTAAAAAAAGAAAATACAAGAAAAACCAATAATACAACTTAAATCTGAGAGATACATTAATTGAAAAATTTCACAAATGGGTTCAATAGCACGTTTCATTACTCTGTTAGGTTCTCACACTAGTGAAACAATATGTTTGCACGTGTGGGTCTCGCTTACTTCACTTACCAATACAGTCTCTGCTTGCCTCCATTTATCTGCAAAAGCCTCAAATTTATCTTTTTTCCATCTGAGTAAGACTCTACTGGAAAAGGCAGAGGAAAAAAGTCATTAAATAAAAATACTAAACAGCTTAGGGAACTTATGTTCCCCACTAAATGCGTCAATGGATGTATTACAGGAGTCTGGGAAAAGAAAGGAAGTAGCAGGGCAAAAAGACTGATTCAAAATATAATGGCTGAAAACTTACATATTTGAATAAATCCGTGACCTTGTAAACCATAGATGAAAATGAACTCTAAAGAGAATATGCAGAAAGAAGTCCACTTCAGCACACATCATAATCAAGTTACTGGGCCGGAGAGATGGCTCAGTGGAATAAGCACTTCCCTGGCAAGCACAAGGGCCTGAGTTCAATCCCCGGTTCCAGGAAAAGAGTGACTACAAAATGGACATTCAGGGGGCTGGTGAGATGGCTCAGTGGTCTAAAGCACCTACTTAGAACAAGTTAAGCTAAGCAAAGCACAGGGACCGCGGTTCAATCCCCAGCACCACATGCCAGCCAGCCCCGCCCCCTGGTGGGCTGAACTGACCACACACACAAAAAAATA